TCTGTTAAGTTTCGCTAAACGGCTATTGAACACGAGCGATTCATGCTCAAGAGGTGTCGCGCCCACCTGGAAAGAGTCATATTGAATTTCTAATATGGAAGAGATACCGAAATTTGTGTTGAAAAAGAATGTCGAGGGTAGGTAACGATAGATTGCCCAAAAATGGAGTCAATATTCTCTTCTCACATCGCTTGGCAGAATAGTTGCGTAGGAAAAGTCAAAATAAAAATATTGCCTTAAATATCCCAAAAGCTACAATTTTTGAAATAACGCAGAGAAACTGTATTTATGCCATTGTTATCCTATTTTCAGATGAGCTGCGATCCTATGATTATTGTGCCAAGAAAGAAAATTTGACCAACAGTTTCCTTACTACTACTGGAAAGATAACAGAAAACATGACTGATCCGGCTGATGTTAAAAAATCCCAGTTTTTTCTTTTCAAGTTATCAGATATAAAACTTTCCTTGAGTAAGACTATCGCAAAGAGAAAAAAAGAACTGTCTAAAAGCTTACTTGATATCCTTTGCGAAGACGTTCATTAATAAGAATGTCTTCCTCCTGACGCGGCTCTTGAGGGTACACATCCGGAGGTCCAATCTTGTTTCTGCGAATTATCCGTTTATCAGCTGTGGATTGGTACCATGATAGGACCTTTGATGTCTTCGCTGACATCATTCAGTCATGTATTTTGCTAAAAATATTCAAAGAGTTTTATTGAAATTATGACACAAAGTGGAGATTGAAACTGACAAGATACAAGGAAAACTTGAATTCAAAAAAAAGTTTCTTTCAGACGGCTGTAAATGTCCTGTCAAGGAAACTTGAACAGCAACTTTTTCAAATAACTCGGAAATAAGAATTGCAAATCACAGGTATGCAATTGTTTTCAAAAAATGTACTGGAAATTCACTGTTCCAGCTACTATACAAAAAACGTTGAGAAAATCCAACAAATTTGAGGTGAGAACTCAAAACCTCATTGTTGTCGTGGATTCAACGCTCTAATCACACAAGAATTTTCAGTAGTGTGCTTTTATTCTTGAAAAAAAAA